TTTAAAAAAACTTACCCAAGGCGGTTTGTTGCATGTGTCCCGTCCACATTCAACACGTCGGGAAACCGTCGGAATAACGCTATCTGCTGCCATCGGGAGAAAAATATTTGGCCATAGTGACCTTCCTCCCCCTGACACACAGGAACGCGTCCAGTCTTCCGAAGTTTTGCCAGGACCGAAGGCATATCATCTGCTACATTAAAACCCAACCATTCGGCACCTACTCAACATAGCCGGTCGACACTTCCGGCGGTAGTTGTGTATATCCTTGGTGGTAAGAATCTTTCCGAGTGCGTCCGCCGCATCTGCCGCACCTCAGATTACGGCGTTCCATATTTTTGCATGTGCCAAACTCGTCTTCGGTTAGGCGTCGATTGACTGGAAGCCGATCGTACATAAACTTTGACAGTTAGTGGTTGTGTTCCAGATAATAAGAGGTCACTGCCAGTTGGTTCCTTTGCCTCCGTAGACAAAACCGCACTGGACAGCTGGTGCTTCGCGTACTTTTTTATCGGAAAATACGCTCGGCTTACTAGCTTTTTCGGATTCCACGGCTTTCCGTTGGTCTTGGAGGGCGCCTGCTGCATTTGTAGTACACCCATTCGTAACGCAAAATAGTGTTGGTGCTTCGATTGCCAGATGAGCGCACAAATATCACAAAGTTATCCTTCATGTATTCATTTAAGGTCTTCCCACATGCCGTGAAGGAGGAAAGCGATACGCCCACAAATTTCTCAACGAAAGCCACTTCCGAAGCCATAGTAGGCGAAGTTCAAAGCTGAATGTGCGCCAATAATTTTCAAAAGAGATCGATTAAAACAAATCACAAAAGACGACGGCGGATGAAGGGGATTTTCAGTCTGAGGATATATGCAAAGAAGTGCAACATTTTGACTTTAAAGTTTTTATTTCACCCGCAGGGATTTTGCAGAAAAATGCATTGTGCCTCGAGCCGCTGGCAAGAAAAAACGAGTTAAATGTTTGAAGCGCATAAACCAAGGAAAGCTGAACTGTCAGTGCAAGCGAAGAGGTAGAGTGAAACAATACAATTTGTCCCAGGGGGTCCCTGATTCTCCGCGTTAAATATATGCAATTGGAAGTTTATCAAATAAGAACTCATAACATCACGAAACTTATCCACCTACCTTAACATTTCCATCGATCTTCCTTTCTTCACACAACCTTTTTCTAACTACTCAGATCACCTCTTCCATTAAGACCTTGGCAGGAATTAGGCATTTTTGTTTATGGAAATCTCGACTAGTCTTGGATATATATACCTATTTAGACTTTTCGCAATCGGAACATTATATTTCTTTCATCCTACTTTATCAGATTTTTATTTTGTATACGACTTAGCAAAAGCAGAAGCATTCTGCTGTTGATTCCTTTCTTGTATTTTTATGTTGTACAACGCAATTCCTCCTTTTTGGTTATTTTTGTTTGCGCCTATGCCACCCTCCTTGTTTTTGACCTGAACATAAACCGTTCTTTGACCTTATCATCGGACGTTTTGCTTAAGTTCACACGTGGTTTTGCTATCTTGTAAACATGTGGCTTTGAGTCATTGTGGACTTTCAGATCCACTAGGAATTAGCAGTTCTTAAACCGATGTATAGAAGCCGGCATAGTCCTACGATGTTAGATCTGTAAAGTTTCATCATTTAATTATTGCGTTTATGCGCACGCACTTGCAGATAAAGCTCCATTTGAAAGATTTGGCTTTTGGGGTTTTGCGCTTAACTCGGCGTGGTCCAGCAGATTGCTAGAAAGAATCTCTAGTATTCAAATCCTAGAACTCAAGTTTCCCGTGGATCTCGGACGTTCACCCGATTTTGAATTTGGAACTTTGGAACCAAGATGACCAGAACACGAAGCGGCAAGTTATTCGGCACTTTATCGAACCCAGAACTTGCCAACTTTATGAACGATAATTCTGATAACACTGTTGATCGTGACATTTGTATTTCTCAGCGTCCATTATTTCGTTAACATTCTCCCCCTAGGCCAAGCGTAGCTTGTGGCGTATGGTCCAGCAGGCACACGGGTATACAGAGAAGTAGACTAGAGGAAGATATACTGGAAGAAGGATTAGTAATACAGATTTAGGAGCTAGGGATTAGAACGCGCAAGTTAGCGTCCTCCAAGCAGCAGCTGTTGTCGTATGGGTCCTCCGATAATATAATCTCCGTGTCCGGTGAAGGTTAACGTGGGTTTCCATGCAGTAAACAGAAGGTGGAGAAATTCACAGCGGAGGTTAACTCAGAGAAACAGAATGAACACAGTCACCTACTGATCGGCATAGGGAGGGTGACACCGCAAAAACTCGAACCGCGGCGCATAAATTTAGCGGCAAACGTGTTGACTAATATACCACAACGCCAGGGTCCAACCTGCCGAAAATAGAATTCTGGAAGTTTATGAAAGCGTTCAATTAAGCGTACCTGACCAGTTCCTTGATGATAGCAATCAATTGACGTACCCTTCCCATTATTTCCACTAAACTCCGTGTGTTCCTCCCTGGAAAGGCAGTGTAACAAAAAGCCATGGATATCCCAAGGACGCAGTCCGGGAGGCCACACGGCATTGCACAGTCGTCCATGGACGAACTACTGGTTGGAGGGCCCACTGCTCCTGGAGGCGTAGATGCCTTACGAAGGTTGATAAGGAAAGTGGAAAACTGTGACCTCGCATTGAGAAAATTGCACTACATGGCGGACTTGAGCTGCTCAACCAATCGCAAGCATATAGTGGAACGTCTATTTCGGCGTTTGCAACAAAGGTAGGATGAGGCGGCAGACGACATATTGCGTTCGGGATCAAAGGCGGAATTTGATGATTCAGTATCCTTTCTTAACCGAAGTGTATCCCTTGCTTCAAATTTCTACGGTGTTATCGCCAGCACCAGAAGATATGGCAATGAGATAGACAAAGTAGGCCTAGGACGCTCACCTAGAAAGACCCGTATCAAAGTCGTAGCTATGAAAGCGAGTATAACTTGTCCTCATTGTCCTAAGACTCATAGCCTTTCTGACTGTGAAATGTTTGGCACCCTAACCCAAGTCAAGTAATGCTCACAACTGCCTGGAGCCTACCCATGGAGCATTTAAGTGTCGCGTCCTTACACGTTGCGACGTCCCGAATTGCAACCAGCAACATCACCGTCTGCTTTGCAACGCACAGTGGATGGTCAATAGGGCAACGAAATGTGCCAGCGTCAACTCAACGGTAGTTGGGGGCCTCGGAGCTACCTTGGGTTCGTAGCAGTTTGGCCGATCGGGCCAAAGGAGACTCTGCTAACTCATGCTCTGTTGGACAATGGTTCTGATACTACCCTACTACCGGCAGACGTAGCAAGGTAACCTGAGTTATAAGGGGAAGCGACGCGCGTAGAAGCATCATCGGTAAATGGACCCATCATCAAGAACACCATGACAGTCAGCTTTGTTACACAGTCTTTGCATGACGGGTATGTTGTGGACGTCGACTGTGCCTACATTATCGGGTCACTTCCCACCGCCAAGACTTTGATTACAAGGGATTTGCTGCTGAACAAGTGGACGCACCTTGCAGACCTTCCACCCGCACGAATTCCTAGAAATAGCGTCTCGATCTTGGCAGAAACTAATGTCCGATAAGCCCATTGGGTTATCAAGCAACGTCTGGCTACTCCGAAACATCCCTGCGTATATCTAATGGCCTTGAAGGACCCAAACGAATGTCAGTGGATTGTCTCAATAAAGAACCCACTGTTGAGGGTCACATATTGAAGATGTCTGAATCGGATTTCAACGAAAGAATGGACGCACCTTGCGGACCTTTAACCCGCACGAATTCCTGGAAATAGCGTCTTGATCTTGACAGAAACTAATGTCCGATAAACCCATTGGGTTATCAAGCAACGTCTGGCTTCTCCGAAACATCCCTGCGTATATCTAATGGCCTTGAAGGACCCAAACGAATGTCAGTGGATTGTCTCAATAAAGAACCCACTGTTGAGGGTCACATATTGAAGATGTCTGAATCGGATTTCAACGAAAGTAAAAGTACAAATAAATCACTATCCCCATAGGACAGGGAGATCATGAGAGACACATTGCAGTCGGTAAGCTTGTTGGACGGTGTCACCGCCTTGGAAGGACGATCGGGAGAACCTACCTAGTAACCCAAGTGTGGCGGCTAAACTTCCCAGTTATTTGAAAGGTCGCTTTTTGAAGGATGATTGCCTCCCTAAATACTACACAGATACCCTAACTATTTACGAAAGAAAAGGGCATGCAAGTCTGTCGCCAGCTGGTTCAACAGAAGGCTTGCGCTTCATCCCGCATCATCCGGTCTTCAACCATCGAAAGCCTACGAAGTTCCGCACAGTTTTCGGCTGCGCCGCGAAAGGTCATTGCATTTCTCTCAACGACCGCTTTTTTTCCGGGGACCTGAACTTACAAATGACGGCATCGGCGTTCTACTGCGTTTCCGACTTCACAAAACTGCTTTGTCTGCAAATACAGAAGAGATGTCCTTACAAGTGCGCTTGCCACCGGAGGTTAGGGCGTCGTTCAGTTTTTTGTGGTACACTGGCGGCAATCCGAACAAATCTCCAGACGTCTATCACCTTAACGTACACCTGTTCTGAGCCACCTCGTGCCCGTTTTGCGCTGCCTTTGCACTGTGAAGCGTTGCTGCTGATAACATAAATGATTTTGACGAAAGGGCAGTTTCCGCAGTGAAGGAAAACTTTAACGTGGATGATTGCCTTGTATCTGTGGAATCTGTGAATATAGCTAAGACAATTAGTTTGCGAACTCAGTTAGATGTTGAAATTGGGCGGATTTCGTTTACATAAGTGGGTAAACAATAATCCGGAACTCTTGAAGGTCATCATGACTGTTTTGCCACCAGGCAACGCTCTTCAGTGACTGCTGTTGTAAGGTGCAGTCAAACGCAAATCTTCGAAAGAAGTTAATTCTGAACACCTTTACGTCCTGTGTATGGCAAAACAAAGGGCGTGCATTCTGGTACCTGAACAGCTCGAAGGCTTTGTGGGTGTGAACGACAGCATAACCCACAATCATCTTTAACGAGTCGTATTACTTCACGCTTTCCACAGCCAAGAACATAACGCGAACTCCAGACTGCGAAACTTAGAATCACACATGATAAGGCTCAGCTGCATAGATCCCTCGTTGATCAAACGCCATGAACGACAGTTCGCATTGTCCGAATTTTTTCTGAACCGTGGTATTCTGAAGCACCCGTTCAAAGTTGTCAGGCAAATACTCTTTTTCCAAACAACTAGTCAGCGAAGACTTGGTGGCAGTTACACTTGCAAAGCCAGGTTGTGATGAGGTGCACTGCGCAACTGGCAGTGAACTTCACCGAAATTTACCGACACGTTTTTAGAGAGACACACATCCAAAGTTGATTTTCTCAGTAATATTCTTGAGTAACTACGACAACTTAATTACGATCAAGAGTTGGAAAGAACCGTTTTCTTCTTCAGACAACAGCGAGAGCAATGAGAATATGGAACAAATGGGCACCAAATATATGTAGAATCTGAAAAGAAAACTTGTTAGTTTTCTCTCCTATTCTTGCCCAAAGGAAGTGATTATTAGTTTTATCGCCAGTCAGAAAGTTGTTTGTGACTCTTTAACGGCCTCGCGATGCATCGTCTTCCTTCCTCAGTTTCATTGGGTAGGCCTGTTCCCAATATTCCCCAAACTCATTGTTCCAGAAGAGATATCCTTTTGATTCCTGTCTTACCACTTGTACAGCTGTGCGAATATTTCTGACCACAGACCACATTTCAATACAGAGATTTTTATGGTCAAACAAAATGAATGGGAAATACTTTCTGGTAATGCATTCTAAAATTTCAAAAATACTTAGGCGAAATTTCATCCCCGAAAATTGCAGCATACAGACGCAACTGCACACTGATAGCAATCAGTTATTATCGCAAACCAGTTCAGGACCTTACTCGGGGATACGGTATTACTGTTAGGCACGTGTACTGTGGAAAAGAAAATTCGCAATACATCAGGAATATTGTATTTCTACCCGATTAACAGTGAAGACAAAATGGCAGATTGGATTGAAATCAATCAATACCGTGTTTCCTCTTCCCATCCAGCGAACGATTCCTCTTGTGGGAGAAACGCTGAACAAAGTAAAAATTACGGTTATCCAAAAATACCAAGAATCCCGCAGAAAGTGGCAGCTGGATTTGTCAACCAGACGGAGACCGAAAGATAAAATTGAAGTAGGTGAAGAAGTGATCGATCGGTTCTGTTTATTCACGCTGGATTCTTTAAAGCATCAGTGCATTCCGCTGTTTCTCTGTTATAGTCGGACCTTGGTCCAAGACCACCTGTCACAGTCTGCTATTAGCCACGGCAAAATAACCCTTCTACAGTTAGAAATAAGCCTTTGTAGGTGCTCTGAATGACGTGGAAGAATTACCGTTTGCTGCGTGATCTTTGGTGCAAGCTCATGCAATTGATATGCCTTTCCGATTCACATGATGCTGGGCGGAACAAGCTTGCCAAAGCGAAAACCAACAAGGCACACAATCAGGACTATGTGCACAGAATTCTGCTTCGGTTAGCAATCTGTAACACCTGCGGAGCTACTACTCACCAGCTGTGCACAACTAACCAGAGTCTGTCTTGGATTTCATTTGAATCCTTTGTGTCATCTTGCTAAAAAAACAGCAGTTTGCAGAACATACGGGCAAAGTTGATAGTTTGAGAGTTTTCGTCCTCGTATTGTAAGCAAACTGCAGGTAGCTCAGAGGGGGGATCATTAACATGTCACGTGAACCCTCCAACCAAGAAGATGTCACTCAGTCAGCCAATAACCAAGTAATGTGAATCCCTTGACTGAGGTGTGAGTGGCGCTATATGCTGCCCAAGTACGGGTTAATCACCATGCCGATCAGCCGCCCAAGACCAATCGGTCTAGTTTAAATCTCCCTCGAGGTTTTTGAGAAGGGGTCAAACAGCTACACGGTGCTTCTCGACATTTTGACATGACGGTGCTATTGAATCTAACTTGACCTCATGGTTCCCCAGCCATTTGTCAACTCGTCCTCACCTGTCTCGCTCACCTTGCCACAAAGGCCGTCCCGCCCGACACTGGTGTGTATGTGTGACTGTGTGCATCTGACCTACTTACCCAGGCGTGTTCCCGTCCCGTTTGCTGGGCTTGCCCGGAATTGTTCTGTCATGAGATCCACGTTATCGCACCGCCAATAGGAATTACGAGACTATTCTCGAGAAGGACGAACGCAACCCACACTACTGAGTGAACATTTCGCTCACCGCTGTTTCATGTGCGGACCTTCACACTGCACTGTCGGTCAATGACAGCACCGTACTCTTGTTAACCCCACGAAACTAGACACTTGAGATTTGTTGTATAAATTTGCTTGCCTTTGTATAAGTATTACCTTGGAACATAGAACCCGATTCTTTATTTTGATATTCAGGATTGTCAAACCTACGCGTCATTCAAAGTTCCGTATCGCGAGCCCCAACAAGTGCAGTATTTTTGTTATTTACATAACCACTGTCGACAGTCACGGCACTCCTGCAATTAGCGTGTGAATAAGAAATCCCTCAGCACCGAGTTAGCCGTGAAACTGCATGAAGACTGCCGAACTGGTGGAGACAGATGCGTACACAACTGTCTGCATCCTAACTCTTGTACATATCAAGGTCAAGGCCACAGTTGGGCACCAGTGAGATTCTCCACATTTCTACTCATTGAGCACTTTACTGATGATTCTTTAGAAATGAATCAGGACATGCACAGTTTTCTAACCAAGAACCTCACAGAGTTTCCGTTCCGTACTCAAAGGATTGTTTTGAGGTATTATAAAAGGACAACTTTATCTGTTGCTAGGTTTTTGAATGTAACTTTCTCCAATTGGCAGCCACTTAGCTATTTTGATGACTTCTGCTACAGATGTCTCACCTTTCTTGGTACCACACTACTTACAAGACTTGAAGATTGTTCGACAACACGCTACCGATTTTTCCTTGATGATCATTATTTCACACTGCAGAAATAAACTGTATTTAAATAAAGCGGCACTCTAACTTTGAAATAACGATGGTGTTGACGTGGATTTCAAAGGAATCCCACCACATTCGGTTGAATAATACCAGAAGTGGGAATTTAGTTAGTTTTCGTGTTCACTTCAACTTTATTTCTTAATGAGGGCACCTCAAATCTATTGCTGAGGCACTAAAACGCGCTCCCCATAAGAATCTGCAATTTCTTCATGGATAAGCTGTGTCTCACTTTTCTCCCATGGAGAGCGCTCCTCTGAGAAAATCACACTTTTAGCTGGTCCCAGCTCACCTGGGTTAAACCATGTGCCAGGTTTTATCGGTTCAGATGCTCTGAATGGCATTGGCTCTAAACTAAATACAGGTGTTTTACAGAGGGCTTCAATATCCAGCGAAATATGAATAAACACTCCTGTAACCTTACAAACGCAACCATACTGTCCGTGAAGCTTCATAGTGTGAGCACACTCGGATGAAAAGACTGGTCTGGTTTGTTTCTCTGTTTCCATTGCAGTTGCGTAACTCTTCCGCTCCACATAACCCACATGTCCAAAAGTTCGGGTGCCTCCATGGTTTCGTACACCAGCTACTACTTAACGTTCACAAGAAATATCGTGCACAATTTCTTTAGTGACTCCCCATGAGGGAAGGTATGTATTGATGAGCATCATCTATGGAAAGTTGTGCACTTCGTGAACTAGTCGCAACGTTTACCTCGACCATAGTCATGTTCAAAGACCTCTGGCAAACCTTAAGAAGCCTGTCAGCTTGTCAGGTGTTCTCATGGTGGCAGAACATGAGAAGACTCGAATTTAGAGATTTTAGTCCAGCTTCTGTTCGACCGTAGACGTTTGCCCGGGGACACGAAACGCTTTTGCAGTCCCGTGTTATTTCAAACGCTTACAGTTTCAGGACAAAGAGAATGAACTTTTCCCTTTTGGTAGGTTATCCCTCGGTTTTGGAAACGTGTATGATAGACGTTCAAAACTACGGAACACTGTGAACGGGCTCACCAGGAACTGGACAGCCTAATTCAAAGATGGTAGACGTGGACAGCGTATGCAATTTTACGAGCTCATTATCAAACACATATGAATGAAAATAGAAAAGCATGAGGATTTGTCGTAAAAAAAGGCTACAATGGGGTTCGATAGTACAGTTTTACTGAATTCAACTGAAATATTTGAAAACATGCTATCGGGTTGTATTAAACTGCAGAAGAACGCGGCGCGGAAATACTCGGGGAACCGTCTGATAAGTGGGGTATTATGTCGGTCCGAAACGGACAGAGCCACATTTTTGCCCGTCAATCTATTGCGTATACTACAGGTTGTAAGCAAAGACTTTGACGGCAGTCCAAAGCTGTCGTCCAACTGTACGTATGTATGCCGGTGGAAGTAAGAAGCCATATCTTCCTTCGTCGCAAAGTTCGATAGTATAAGCGTACGGAACATTCAGTACACCGGCTACGAAGTCTTCAGCTCCCCCGGAGGCCTCATCTGTATACAAAAGCAAGAAAAACAGTGAACAGAAAAGTAAGCAAAACACATTTCAACAGTGTTGAGACCTCACCATAAACTCAACAAATAAAACGGTGAAAGTTCTCAGTACAATTCAATATTCATGATTGCGGCCACGGCGTCTGCGTAGTTTTCATGAACCATACTCCAAAATCCGTGAACTGTTTTCAAGGTTTTAGCTCCATTTCATTTGAGTCAAGGAATTACACCGAAGCTTATTGGTTACTTCAAAACAAATGGCGTCAAATGCGAGCTACAGCTTTGATGCTGCCCATACTTGTTTTCAGAATTACAGCTGGAACTTCAAGTTAGCAACAATCTTTTCCAACATTCAATTCTCGCTAACTTCAAGACTCACTAACTTCAAGACTTTTCCTCCATGCGTTCCAATCCGATAACTTTTTCTCATCGGAAACAGTATCAACATGATGAGGATGCCAACGGGTCATCCATGTTCTCCTTAGGACACTCGCACCGCCAAACATGGGGGGACAGTGGGGGCACCTAACAAATAACGATGTGAGGCCTAAGCCCTTGTAAAGTGCAAGCCCTCATTGTGCAGGGTACGAACTAATTAGCGAGTAGCCATACGTTTAATCATTAGGAGTCAGTAATCATGATGCCGAATTCTATTATTAGTCACTTCAACAAATTCAACAATTTGACCCATACTAGGGATGAAGCTGATGGTCTGTGATGAGGTTTCCACGGGGAGATCATTGGACATTACTTCGACGTTCAGGCCAAAGAATCTACTGGCATTGTTACGAGTCTTTGCTGTAATTTTATGAGTAGCTGGCGAGCCGAAAAGAAAACAGTGTGTAGGGTAACGTAATTTATAAGTGTGCTAATCTAAACTCCAATTTGCCTGGTATGATAATACAGTTAAGGATACCATAAACCTAGTCACGTGTCTCTTCAAAACCAAGTGCATGTACGTAAATAAATCGTAGAAACGCGACTGTGAAAACCCTAGACGCAGACTGTTTGCGATGGCCAAAAAATGGATAATTCAACACTATACCTATTCGTAAATCCACTAGTCGTCACGACTACTCCATTTCCGTTTTTACCTCGGGGCATTCTAATCACTCCTGACATGATGATGAAAATTTCAGTTGTCACCGGGTCAACAGTGTAAACGGGGACGTCTTTAAGTCATAAACCCGTGCACCTCCAAGTTTCTTTCCGATTACTTTAATTGCAAATCACTTTTTCAGTTTTTCAGCATCTATTTTCGGCTTGAAATTTAAACATTATTACTCTCCGACTTTTGATCATGTCTTGTGTGTATATATCACACTACTAAGGGAAACAGATTACCACTGGTAACAGCATTACTATTATAAGTATAAACATGTATGATTACAATAATCCTTACATTAAAACGTTTATTTTTATTAGGTCACACTGGAATACGATGAGTTGTCAAGGACACAAGGATAAAAGGTGACCAACAACATCACGGCTGTCGTATCGGTCTATTCATCCGGACAGAGTACAAACCTCATTTACGGTAGAAACTTACACAGGAGATCAGAAGCCGAACCGACTCGGTAGACGTAATTGTATCGCTTTTGAATTTCCTTCTGAACGAGTTCACCCAAGTTGATCTAGAAGAACAAAGGAGAAAGATTGATACCGAAAGTGTCTTTTGACGGCACACAACTGCACCGAAACTCGTCTCTCAATCAGTGTCGATGACCACATTTGGATACTGCCGACCGAATTATTTCAGCTGCAGTTTTATCTTTAATATGAAGTCTTCTTGCGGTACCATTCATATCCTCATCAACATGAGAAATGATGTCAAAAGCATAAGATATTTTGGCGTCTCCCACAGATACCAGCACTACTAAAAAATGATCCAAACTCACTCTTCCGGAAATGAGTTTTATATATAGAAATGATAAAACTATTGCCCTGAATAACACAACTACCTACCGCATGCTTTTTCGAAGAAGCCTCAGTGACCTGGTGTTGTATGGTTATTTAGATACTCGATATATGGGGCTTTTCAACCTAGACAACTTGGAAATTCGTGTGACTGTTGCAGGCGATATTAGCCCTTTGTTTCGGGGGAAAGTGAAGATATAAGCCAACAGTATTGGTAAACTACGGTCAGTCACAAATTGAGTAGTTGTCCATGAAATACTCAGTCGAACTCGATGTTCATGCGAATCCTCACCTAAATAGGCTACATAAAGACCTCCTTCTGTGCAATTCGATGCTCAGGAAGAACATACGGCTGATGGGAACTAGGAAATTATGCCTGCCCGCAGGAAGGATGGAACCTGCAGTAAGCTGTCAATGGGTTTTCAGCAACCTTGGGAGTAGTGTGTTAAGTAAATAAAACAGATGTACGCTATTTGCGAAAAACACTTGGAGGCAGCACATGGAGGTGGGTTTGAAGGCGGTACGGAGATTTAGAGCTCAATGAACTTAAATGATGGTGCTTCGCAATCCCGTTACATTAAAACAGGTGTAATTTTAAATTGCCGACCTTAGATACTACTTTTGAATTTTCAGTCCTTTCACAACCTGCGCCAAACTTCAGTCATCCAGTTGAAGCTATCTGACAACTGGAAAACCTGTTTACTATATTTTACCGCCGAGTACATTTGTCTAAACAGTTGCATTCTTACTCGTAGCAACGATGAGGAGCTGAACCAAGGTACTGGATGCTAGATATCACAGATGGCTTCGTTTGTGAGATGAACAGATAGAAACTGATAACCCAAACTCAACAACCATTAACCCGGGCATTGCATTTTCAAAATCATCTGCCTTCTTATGACACCTTATGCAAGGAAAACCAATCAGCCCGCGACTTACCACCCACCTAGCTAGGGCATTTGACGCTTTAAGACTCAGTTCGGTAACTGACCTAACCCCAGTTTATAGCCATCCGACTTCATCCAGATGAGCGCATGATTTCATGGTCAACAAAGCAGGTGACTAAAATACTTCGAGTTGTGTTCATTAAAAAAAAACTCATGTTTAAAGAGAATGAGAAGCGATCACTCGAAAAGTGACTTTGGAGTGCACAATCTCCGCATGTTTTTGAAGTGCATGCTGTATAACGGAACATGGTCACAGCAACCACTAGGTAAAAAGAAAGAAGTAACAGGGCAAGGTAGTGGTCCACTACTCAAAAGGTTTCTGACAACTCTTCGATCGCCCGTGGCTGGTCACGTGTTTCCGTTCTACCAGAACGAAAGTCGTACGAGATCTGACGAATTGATTCGTCTGTAGACCAACTTGATTTTCAAAGAGGTCTACCCGAAGTAGAAGGCCATAAGCTAGACTCACCTGGATCTTCCGTGAAAGCCAAATTGGTATTCAAGTGAGTGAATTTGTCGAGGACTAGATACTGTTCTGAATGTCTCTGTCAACTCGTATCTACATAATTTACTAGGAGATACTAATTTGGCGGATGGTTCGCATTGACGGTGTTGATGGAAAGAGACCATTAAGACCATGAAGGTCCCAACGACCTCGGGATCAGCTGGTGGATATAGACTAGGATGAATGCACGTTTCATGAGTTGGGTACTTCAGTGATACAGGGCATCGTTCATGTAAATAGCGACCAATACAGAGGGACACATCTTCATTGTACTGGCTTCAAGTACACACAGGAGTTTCTTGAATCCAGAGCGCGTGTTGTGATCTTTCTATGAGCTTATAGAAGCATCTCTGCACTGCTTTGGGAGGGCATTTTGGGTCAAAAAATTCATGCACTTCCGCTAGAATGGGCAAACCACAGCATTAGTGCATTTTTCACACTTTTGCGCAACACCACATAAGCAGAGTTTTCTTATGAAAACAGTTATACAGTCATCTGAACATGGATAGTAGCGCGCATATAAAAAGTACGTGTACTCGAACTTCCCGGTTACAGCTTTCCTCAGTCTGAACAAACTATCCATCACGAAGAAACTCAGTTACCTGAGCTCCAAGTCTTATCGGACCCACATGATTGGCCACAATAATCCGAAAGGCTACAACTGGTTATGCTCTTCTGTATCGCATTAGGCAGGCGTTCTCCATAAATTTTGATGAGCTTTTCGTCATGTGCGCACACCAAATTGTACGTGTGCAGGTATGCTGGACTGTTATGAATGGAATATCTGAAGGAGCTCTCTTGTACGTCATTTCCAAAGACCTCATTAAGGTGACTAGCCTTGTTATGCTCTCCATAGCCAAGCACAGCCATATTCCCATTCACAACTCAACTGGTATGTGATACTCGGGACGGTAACTACTTTTAGGGTTCCAATGAAAGTTAAGCCTGAGTCACTGATTCCATCATCTTGGTCAGCTGATGGCCAGGAATCACTGAATGCCTCTTGCATTCGCCATGCAGAACTCTGTGGATACATATTGCTCTGTTACTCTATAAAGAATTAGCGTGGCTTACCAGGGTGAGTTTACCATCAGGGAAGGCCAAATAATGAATACTCTGGATTAAATGTGTAAGAGTAGCTCCGATTCTTTATTCAAACCGCAGAAACTCACCCGAGCCTTAGGCAGTAAACACTGGCGATTAATTCTGTTTTGTTCGCCTGATGCAGTGATGCTTTATGAAAAACAGGTTTTCTGCCAGAATTAAAATCAATTTTAGGAAAATCAGTGTACTTTGAAACGATAGCTGTTGGAACGTGCATCGCTGACCACAATTTTGGCTTGCACCTGGGAAGAGATTTCACCTATCTGATGTGAACTTGATTCAACAGAACCGAATGTTCACAAGAGACGAATGATTCCTCGATATTTCATGGCTAATGCATTAGGGTTCAGAGGTAGTGTGTTGCCTGGCAATGGCTTACCATATTGTTGTAGTTTCCAGGATAACGATACCGGGCAAACCCGTACGGTGTCAGGATAAACTGTCCAAATGAGTGTAAGTTCAGGTACAGTACAATTTGATCTTTCAGTTCTGTCAGTTTGTTGATCAGTGCTTGGGATTCGAGCTCTGAAGCTGGTCCATCTCCACGATAAATGTCATCGCATGCTCGTGGTGACGTGCCATCCCCGTCTGCGAGTAGAAGAGTGGATGAAACCAAAGGTAACACTGCAGAACTGAACGAAGAAGTACCACACCTGATTCATTGCCGTGGTATTTTACATCCTTCTCACACACGCAAACATTAGCAGTTTTCACGCTACGGGCGCAATCAAAAATGCAGAAAACACAATCTATAGGGTTGATAATTATTAGGGCTACCTTAAGTTTGTCGGAACTGTCCAATGCGAAGTGTTACCAGTTTGTTCCTTATAATTCCAGAATCGATAGTTAGACGCTGAACGGTTACAGTTCGGCAGACTTGGAGAATTTTGAAGCTTATGTGCAGTGCAACAAAGTTTATGAAAATACCCAACGATTGCTTCATTCAGTGGGGTAAAATTGTAGGCACTGCTGCAACGTCAGACGGTTTCCGGATTGTAGTGGTCAATTTGGCATATTTCGAAGTCACGGTTGATTG